GAAAGCACGAATTAGGATAATATATATTATGTATAGCTTTGTCATAATACAGGTATTTTGACACAAAATCGGACTTTTTTTTAAATGACATGCCAATTTCTTTTACATATTTCTATTCTATGACTAAAATTATTCCAAACTGCCAAGTTTTGAAAAACATGCACTAACAGTTTTTTAAAAAATTAGCTCTAAAATCTTTAGCTAGACAATATTAATTGAATTTGATATGTATTTATTAAACTTATTTGATTCTTTCTTTCATATTTCGAAATTTAGGTTCATTCCAAATAAATTTCACTCATTTTTTTGTGATTTAGTTTTAAATAGTTTTTATAAAATTTTCAAAAAAATTTTGAAGTATAACCTATAAAGTTTTTAGTATCATCTTAAAATAGATATATTTCTAGGTACACTTGCAAAAAATTAGAGTTTTGCATTCAAACGTTTCTAAGATATACGTGAATTTACATATTGGAGCATTTTGAAATTTGGCGTATTTGTTATGAGCGATAATTGCGCCAAATGTGGTTTAAGCACTTTGTCAAAATTATTTGAAAGTATAAATGATGACTTTTTTCCCGCTCATCTGCATTGGAAAAAAAGGAAAGGAAAATAGGGTGCTATAAAGTAAGAAGTTCGCCAAGTGAATTATTCTTGGCGCAAACTGAAAAAAAGTGCACCAAGTTAAATTTTTGAATTTCTCCGTAAATTTCGCACACAAATTTACAAAATTTAGTATTTAGGCATAATTTGAGTCGTAGAATCGCGATATGGAAAAACACTGGCATGTCATTTTAGAAAAAGTCCGATTTTATGTTAGAATACCTATATTAGAATAGTGCTATACATAAATATAATATATATCCTAAGTCGCGATTTTGAGACATGAAAACCACAATTTGAATTTCGTCAATCGGCCCAGTAGAACGGGAGATATAGAACTGTCCCCCTTTTTTCCGCAGTGTACTTATATCTGAAACTGAATTATAAGCATTACTTCCAAAAATACGTAAAATATCTGAAAATGAATTGTAAAATTAATATAATTAAAATAAGAAAATAATAAATCTTACAGCAAAAAGTTGAAACTGTGCACTATCAAAATAGGGAAAAATTATTTTTAGCTGAATGTCTGAAATAAAAGGTAAAAAAAGTTATTTGTTACGTACATGTTAAGTGCAAAAGTGAACCGTATGTTGCTTTAAAAGTCTTTCTTATAGTGAAAGTCGGCCTATAATACACTCACGTTTGTGAAAATTGCAACACCAATTTTCACACCAATCGTCACACCAATTTCACACCAATCGTCATAATTGAATGCAATTTAATACACAGTTGAGTGGTAGTGGTACAAATAAATGATTAAATGTTCAAAGCAAACAAACAAGAACAAGAGATCAGAATCAGTATTTTGTGTGGCCACCACGCGCCGCAATAAGTGCTGCTACACGACGTGGCATGGAGTCAAACAAAGTTTGAATGTCTGACTGAGGAAGAGCATTCCATATCGTTTGTACGCGTACCCAAAGTTCGTCTGCAGACGCAACAGGACGAGGATCACGAGCAAGACGCCGACCAATGACATCCCACACATGTTCAATTGGCGACATATCCGGGGAACACGCAGGCCAAGGAAGAAGCTGTACCTGCTGCGCTGCAAAGAAGGATTTAACAATCCGAGCAGTATGAGGGCGGGCATTGTCCTGTTGAAATACAGCGCCTGGCAAGCTTTGAAGGAAGGGAACAGCTTCGGGCTGTAGAACTTCACGGATATACCGGTTGCTGTTCAGATTGCCCACAATTCGTAGCAATTGAGATCGTCTATGATATGCTATGGCGCCCCAGACCATAACTCCGGGTGTTCGTCCACTGTGGCGTTCGATAATGCACTCCGGAAGGTGGCGTTCACCGGCATAGCGTCTGACACGAATGCGGCCATCATGGTACCACAAATTAAAGCGGGATTCGTCAGAAAACACGACATGCTGCCAATCAGCACGCCAGTCTCTATGCTGATTGGCCCATTGTAGCCGCAGGCGGCGATGGTCGTGCGTTAGGGGGATCCTGTATAAAGGAGTCCGTGCGCGCAGTCCACACTGCAGCAGACGTCTACGAATTGATGAAGCACACAATGAAACACCTGTAGCTATTGACCACAGTGCTGCCAATTGTCTAGAGGAAGCTGTACGGTCCGTCCGCGCCATGCGGACCAGGTGTCTATCATCGCGAGCTGACGTCACATTTCGGGGTCCACTCCCGGATTTCCGAGTTGTCCGACACTCGTCCGTCCACTGCTTCCAAACGCGCATCACTGTGCTGCTGTTACGCGCTGCACACGAGAGGCTACTGCACGATACGACAATCCAGCTTCACGAAGGCCGATGATTCTCCCTCGTTCAAACTCTGTAAGTTGTTCAAATCTCGCTCTCTTTCGTCGACGAGGCATAAGTACAGATTGAGTTAACGTTTACCACTAGCAGATAACCACCGATAACCATACACGCCTCGCTACAGCCGTCTATTTATTCGGATCCATCAGCCGTTCAGAGGGCGCTGCTCAGCATACGCATGCGCTACGGATTTGCAATTCTAATCATTTGCATATCATGCGCTACTTTGCATTTCCTGAAAATTTCAGCTCACTCGCGTAAGTCCTTCATGGTGTTGCAATTTTCACAAACGTGAGTGTATTACCATTGATTCAAATCCCCAAATAATGAGAATCCAGTAAAGTTGCATTAAACATTAATTTCATTCTGGGGACCCTATGCATGCGGCCATGAATGCGTCTCAATTATGTATTTGTTGCAGATAACGGTGTTGCAAAGACTTCAAGTTTTAATTATTGGAAGTCGGCGTTTACTTCCACTATCGTTTAAATTAAACGTAGCTAACACATCAAAATATCTATAAATTGAGTTTATTAATTGACATTATGATATAAATCTTAATCAAAGACTTGAAGATTCAGATTTGATTGAATTTTATTCTTAGTTGTCAAAAAATAAATACTCTCAGCTACGATTTTTTGCACTAGAAATAATTGCTTTGTTTTGAACACGTTTACGTGTGAACTGCTTTTTTCCCAATTGAAAACTAATAAGAAAAGAAACCGATTGACTAAAGACTATCTGCAATTAGTGAGCTAGTAGTTTTTCTTTGGTGCACTGTACAAGTAAATTTCTCTGGTGCGCATACAAGTAAATTTTATATTTGCATATAAAATTTACAATTATTAACATACAAATTTACGTATTTTAATTTATGTGTCGAAGAAAAAATTGATACATAAGAGAAAAAGACTAAATTGTCATTATTCATTCTTAAATTTTGTCCTGTTTGGGAAGATTTCCTTGAAAACATAAATAAAAACAATTTTAGTTAAATTACGCTATTTAATGATTAATTAAACATATTAGAATTATTTGAAATAGAGGTGAGTTTGAAATATTAATATTTAGTAGCCAGTATTTTTGAATTATAAAATGTAACCGATAAAAATAAAGTACTAACCTAACTTTAGATTTCGGTTTAACTTCAGATTAACTTTAGATTTAACTTTAGATTCGATTTATTTTCTGACCTAACTTTAGATTTCAAACAGAAAATAAATACAAATTGTACTTTTTCCCTTTGAGTTATTATTATTGTCTATAAATGTTTTAATAATATTTAGTATGCAAAATTTAAAATTTAGTTAAAATATTTTTTATTTTATTGAGAACAAATTTTTATTTCCCTTAAAAACAATTCTGCCATTTTGTCTCGTTAGCTGTTTTTAGTTCATGCATTCGCCCGCGAGCAATTTCAGTTTGAAACTGATGGTGTAACATACACTCAGATCAAAAAATTAATTTTCAAGAAGAATTATTACTACTGTAATTCACATTATGATGACATCGTTACCTACCACACGTTGGACTAAAATATGTACTCAAACAATAATCATCAGTAAATTTTTCTTCATTGCCTTTTGAACAGTTTTATACTCTTATTCAGTTTTCCATGTTTCAGTTATCTACATCAGTGTTATTGCCTCTAATTAAGCAGGAAAATAAGTCAGAATAAGAAGTATGATTAAAACTTTAATTATCTCAGCATCTAAAGTTAAAGAGTTTTATTTTAATTACCTGCTTATTTTATTATTATCCCAAAGGGCGTTATCCAGATGGGCTATTAATTTCGATCTGGCATTTTGCGTTGAAAACGTTAAATGTCGGTTCACTTTTCAAATTGTTGATACCAAATATTATAGCCCTGTGTTATATTTAAAGAAATTAAATAATGAAGAATCTGCATTATTATATGTATGTTTCTCACATTGTGATAAAACAACGGTACCTAGAGCCATCCAATTTTGAATAACGTAATCTTCCGCCGAATATTTGTATCTGGAAGTCCGAATTTCGAATTTGTTTTATTATCGATTTCATATTTTGTAACACTTGATCTAATTTTTGATTAACAAACTCAACGATTTCAAAGCGAGCAATGGTAACACCCGTATGGAGAAAAAAACATTTTTATCTCCAGCGCGCGAGACTGTGTATCGGAAATTCTAAAGATATATTCAATTAAAAATGATTTTGCGATATTGTTGTTGAAATAAATTTTATGGTTTAAGTGCAAAGAACATGATATTTAATAAATAAAGGTAACACACGATACGTTAAAAAAAGTCCCTTTGGCCGTAATGTAAAATCTGAAAGCTTTCAGATTTTTGTTTTTATATTATTTTCTATACTTTTTTGTCACACTCCAACCGGATGCAAATTAGTTTAGTGCATAAATAACAGTCAAGTTTCAAAGTTTTGCTGCAGCAACTGGCAATTTGGGCTAATCGACTACTTAAAAATGGATCAAGACTTTAGGAACACCTTACCATTTTGTACAGGGAGGGGCGGGTCAGATACTAAATACTTATTGTAAAGCAGAGATAGAGTAAAATTTAAATCACGGTGTCCAAATATTTTAATGAATGCCAATTTATTTACTTGCAGGTGGCTATCCTGTGTGTTTATGCTGCTTTCTGCACAATTCGTCTTTGGCAATGATACGATCTGTGAAATGAAAGGAAATTCCGTCAAAAAGTTAGAAGTAGCCGTGGAGCTTCTTAACGAAGTCAAAGAAAGTTTAGTTTGTAAGTCAAATTTAATCAAGTAGGATTAAAAATAATGTATTATTAACTGATATAAATTCTGAAACAAAGCAAGTGTTAAATTTCTTAAATTTCCTTCAATAACAAATAATGATTTGATGAGATATGGCTGGGGAGTTTTCTATTTATTTCTGTAAAAATTGTGTGTTTCTATTTACGTTGCACGGGAGATTTACGAAAAGCGAATAAAAACTTTCGTTTAAACTTAAATCTGTGTACATTCAATGTCGATCAAAGGACATTTAACGAAACTGCAGATGGGAAAAAAATTAATCAAAGATTTAATCAAGAAACATAGCACAAATAAAGTGATTTGGTCAGTATTTTGGACCCGTAAATAAATAAAGATTTTAACGTTTTACAGGACTCATATGAACAATACGAAAACCTTTTTAAAATTATAAGCTGCCCCCCGACTTCTACGCCCTCGATCTTCTAACGAATCGAAGAAGCTCACTCATGATGCTCCTTACGATGTGAATAGCATAAGAATGGAAAAATTAAAAGTAGAGAAGATATCTAACTTTAAAATTTATAAGATATTTTCTCCCTCCTTTCTGCATGTCTTCGTGGTGTAACGGTAGCACACTCGGCACGTATTCGAGAGGTCCAGGTTCGAGTCCCGGTGAGAGCATTGCTCATTTTTCATGTCTCCTGCTTAAGAAAAAATCCTAATGCCTGCAAGTTATATATATATACTTTCACGCTTGAGGATAAAATTAAACAAACGTAGATCCATTATTTTATTGTTTTATGTTACAACATAATTTAAACTTTGCGCAACAATGAGCAATACAGTTAGCAAAATAAATTAACTCATGAAATTAATCAGAAATGTGACTGTACTCAATGTTTCGGATAAAAACATAGTTAAACATTGACTTTAAGCCTTGTTATTGGCTTAAAAAGTAATAATAAATTGCACCAAGTTTGGCGCTAAAGAATGCATTTCTACCTGATATGCGCATTGCAGTCAGATAGGGAAAAATGTGGCCTCGTTTTTATGTTGCAGGAAGGAAGTTGTTTTCCCTTTGACCAATGTAAGATGAGTTGGGTGCATCCATGCCACACACATTTTATTCTCTTCGTCTTTCCTCATATAAGATCATCTTTAATATGAATGCTTAATAGCAATAAATGATAAAAATTGTTTTTAGGTGTTGCTACTACAGAAAAACAGTGTTCGATGTTATGCAAATTGTATTTCTTCCTTTGTACCGAGGAGCGGCGCAGACGCAAATTTGTTAGGTTTTAAAGCTCGCGTTTAGAGCTTTGAGGTTGCTGTGAATTACTGGAGTTTCAATTAAGCAGAGGTTCTTCTGAGTTTGTGTGGTAAGCCGCTACCGAAGTCGGAGTTTGCAGTATGGTCTTCGCCGTTCCTCAACCAACTTAATGTTTGAAAGTCAATAAAGAAGTTTCGGTCAACGTTATGACTCTGAGGTTTCTTGGGTTCTATACTGAAGTAATATCAAGTCAATTGACAGTCCACTATTTTTAAACAACGGAACGTACAACAGAGTTAGAACATACGTTGTAAGATGACTCACATCGAGATCCTAGGAGTTGCCCTCATTGCCCACTGTTTTGCAGTTAAACTATCACACCTAAAGCCTTTGTATTTTATTTTTAGAGCATACTTTTCTTTGTAATAACAAAATCAGAAATATTTGTTGAGCTGAGTAAAAGTGGAAAAACAGATTTCAAGTTTATAGCTGAAAAATGCACCAATACTTAAAATTTGCATTATGCTTGAAATCATAAGTATATTGCGTTTACTGATAGCTATTAGTTCAGTGCTTGTTAATAGCTGATTCGCTACTTATATACTTTTTTTTTGTGCATTGTTTGTTGAGAAATAATTGAAGGAGTTCAGGAATGATAGAAAATTAATATTCAAATAGAAGAGGAAGTAAGTAGCTTTCAAACACTTAACAGCTTTTTTTGTGCCATTTGTTGTTATCAAATCATTCCAAAATTCATTCCTGATGTAGTAAAAATATTATATTTCTAGCAAAAAAATGGACAATTCGCATTTTAATTTTAAAATCCGTAAGTTACTAAATCCGCTTAATTCAAAATTAATACAGTGTTTATAATTATTGTCAATTGACGTTAGTTAGGATATTTTCATCTTCGATCTGGGAAGACATAAAGGACAAAGAAGTGAAGAACGTTCATCTAATGGAAAATATATCACATATGAGATATACGTTTCATCATGAATAAAACAGCGAATGGATGACTAAAAATCAGAAATGTCAAAATAACGCAGAAGATATTTATTGCAAATAACTCTAACGGCACGTGAATAAATACCAACTTTGCTATCGAGAAATGATAAACAAATGTAAGAAATTATACCATTCCTTATATGCATTTTGTAAAATTCTGAATCTTGGATCATACTTTGTTTTGGAACAGATGTAAGGTTCTGCTAAGTGTAGAAACTTGTCTTAATGTTCTGCAGACTTAAGACTGGGAAGCAAGTTAACACTTTAATTTGAAGCAAGTGACAATGATCATTACAATAATATTTTCTATTTAGCTTTTTAAATGAGCTGGAGTCATTATTTGTATCCCAAACGGAATAGTGGTTAATGACACCGAATACCGCACCGAACGGCCTGGGTTCGAATCCTGGAGGAGACATGGATATTTTTTAATGTATAGTGTCTTTGTGGCATACTCTAAATATGCAGAGAGTTGAAAGTCGTCTCTTTTGGTTTTCATAGAGGTAAAGGGGTGGCCGGTATTCAGATCTACCCTCCCCGGATGCTCTCGATCAAAATTGGAGTGGAATTGAGTCAAATCGTGCTGTTATCTATATGTCACCCAAAGCTCTTACCAACAACAGGCGTGATCTTGTACTCCTTGCCGAGATGAATTTCGTGGGCTTGTTTTGATGTGCAGACAAGGTAGATTCCAACAACAACAGCAGCAGCATTACTTGTGCTGCCAATGAACCTCCGTTACTCTCGGCCATTTAAAATATCATAAGATGAAATTTAATTGAAATGTAGGTAGCATAGTCGAAGATTACACACACATAAGAGTACTTAAGCTGGCTCAAGATGATTAATGGTGCATATTTAAACGTCGGCTAGTAAGACGCTAAACCCCGAATAAACCTTTGGCAGAGGTGGTGATAGTAGGTGACCTTAATGCGAAGCTGCTAGAAGACCTAATTCTAAAATATTCGGCAATGCATAACTTATTTGCATTCTGGTGAGGACTATAGAAAGAAAAAGTAAAGGCTCGAATCAAAACTGCTTAATTAACATAAAATCCTACACAGTAGCTTACAAAATGAATCAGCTTTTGTATTCTTGAGGTGGAATCTTTGTCAAAAATGCTTCTGAAATCTCACATAATGTGTTTATTAAGTCTTTCTTAAGATTCTGGCTCCCGAACGAGCTGAGACTTTTCTCGTTATGAGATATTTTCTTTAAATTAGTTCTCTTCTGTCAAATGAAATATCCGCAACTCCTTCTAAATGCCCAGTATCACTAGTCTATCTGACATCAGAGTGCTTTCCACTTTGGCAACTATTTACTCTGTGAGTGGTAGACTGTGACAGAATGACTCTGTGACTGGTATAGATAGAATTCTATACTGTGCATCATCTTCACAAGAAATGCTTTCAGGGAACATTCTGCAGGCCATTTAGCCAAGTCACTAAGTGGAAAATCAGCCGGTTCGGAAATATGTGCCGGAGCACATCAGTACTTGTGTTTACCTTTGCACCGTCCTGCTGGAACCAGATTTTATTCACTGTCTTACCTACAGTTCCGACGATCTTTATTGCTCTGCAGCGATACTTATTGACTGTCACACAATCTATTGGAGTGAAGTCTTCCACAGCCACAAGTCGTAACTGTCGCCAATAAAAACTGGTAGACACAATAATTGCCAATCTGCAGTTGTAAGAACATGAGAGATAAATTGTTTTTAAATTGAATCTATAATGACTAATTGATTAATTACCCTGGTTTTAAATAAGTCTGAGCTTAAAAAATGAGTCCATAGAGTAAAATGCAATATTTAATTTCTTTGAATTATGCAGTTTTATTTGAATTTTAATCCGAACTTCACAACGACATTCATTGACTAAAAGTGTCTCCTATGTTCAAAATACTAGAATTCCCCCCGTGAAACATCGTTAAAAATATTTATTTGCTGGTAATTAAATCTAATTTAGAAGTATAATTGCAAAAGAATTCATTCAATAGGTCCAAGTACAAAACCACCCGAGAAACCAATGGATTGCTCGGAAGTTCTCTTCAACGGACATAATATTAGTGGAGTGTATACACTTTGGCCTATGAATAGGGTTTTGACTACTGAGTCAGTAAAAGCATACTGCGATATGGACACTGAAGGTGGAGGTTGGACGGTAAGTTTACCTTTAAGCAAGTACATCTTTAAGCAAGTTACCTTTAAGCATCTGAAAGCAGTACATTAAATTTTCGATAGCAGGTGATAAACACTAGATAAAGGGATTTACTATGTATAATTTAACGCAGTAAACACAGTGTGTCATCGTTAAAGCTTTATGTTGCCACTCTGCCAAGCGTAATATAGTATTTACGTAACGTATTTAATTAGAAAACTCGGCGATTTAAAAGAAAAGTGTTGCAACTCGTAATGAAAGGTCGGGTAAGGACTTTTGTCGACACTGTGTACATCATTATATTTATAAAGAGTATAAAATAGGAGAATTTAACTTATTTGCGTTATATTTGTTTGTAATTGTTCTAAAAATAGCCAGTTCTTTTATAGCGTGTCATTTTTGTTAAACTGTTTATCTCTAAGGACCAGGAAAACTGCCGTTAATGAATGCCAATAGGACACCTACCATACCTCGATATCACATAAATTAACGTGCAATATTTAATTAAGAGAAATTATGTCAATTAAAACTATTTTCCAAAATATAAAGACCAGAAAAGAAAGAAGAAATAATTAATTCGGCTCACAAAACCGATCAAAAGAAGTTACATTTTCGAAATGAAGATCCTTCCACTTAAACCAGCCCAAAATTTAAAACTGAAGTGCTTCATAAGTGTTTAGCTTTCCTCAGATAAATTTATAACCATCTCTCAACTAAAAGAAAACAATCGAAAATAATAGATTGTTTGAAAAACATACAACACAGCAATCAATGTATTAAATTACGTTCAGAAGATGTACTATTTCGCGTAAAAGGAAATATCCACATTTAAGAATAATCAGTATTGAGAACTAAAGAAACTTTTCGTAGCATTAGTATCTAATATTTCAGACGGATTACTCTTTTAATAAGCATATTTTTCTTCCAAAATCAAAATTATAGTTCTTTTTTAAACTTTTCGAATTCAAGCCTTTTTTGGGGGTCAATTCTGTAGTTCTTAAAAACCAGAGATTCCCAAACGTTTTCATACATCGACCCCTTCGAATGAATGATTCCTTCATTCACTGCCTTACATTTGTCTCTGTCATGTACAGTACACAACATAAACATAACACGAATAATCGCCTATAAATAACTTAAAGACAATAATTGATTAAGGATATAAACTAAAGATTTTTTAATTGTTTTATTTTGTATTATTATTATTTTTAACTATAAACAGGTTTTCAGAAATAATACCATATACTTTAAGTGCACAAAAGTTCGATTTTCATAAACTTGATAGCTGCGCTTGTTGTATTGATATAACTTTTTTAATATTTGGCATAAAACTGCTTAACTTAATTCTTAACTCAGCTTATTCACAAATATTTAACTTGTTTCTTGATTTCCTTAGTAAATTTTAGACTTGATTAAAGATTACTTCAAATGGAAAAGTCAGTTTGTATTGATTCAGTAACAACATTTATTTTTGGATGTTTCTTTCGGATGACTTTTAAATTCAAAAACTGAGCATATCCGTGTGTTTTGAAGCATCCTGCTTCAACGCAATCAGCTCTTCACTCAACTCTTGCAAACAATTGCAATCAAATGTAGCAACATTGATGAGTATATCACACTTCAGTGGTTCTGTGAGTTATGCTGGCATATTCAGATTTTCACTGCCTTGGATTAAATCTTCTTTTAAATTTTAAAAGCGGACTTTAGAATATAACAATATATCTTGCGAGGCAATCCTGTTTAATACTGGACAATCGCTTTAAGCTGTAAAAGCAATGGAATTCTTTTCGATTCCGTGTCAATTTTAAAACAAAAGGCAAAGATAATGTATCTGTCTTCCATGAGATTGATGTCTCTTCTTTATAGTATATTTTGTGCGACACTGAACAATGAATATTCAGATGTCGAACCTTAATGGACCCCTTGATCATAACTGACATCCTTCAGAATTTTATCGACGGCCAGGAGATGAACAGAGACTCCGCTGAATTGGTTAATTTGACTAAAGCAAAGCACATGAAATTTATTTGCCTAAGCGCATCAATCAAAATATTTACGGGTTCTGCCATACTATTAGGCACTACATGGACTGACTCCTCATCCTCCGTATTAGGCGATAGAGTCGGAAGTAAATGAAAAGCATCCCTCAAAACGAGACGCTTATGCGAACTCAGTTTTCCTCACGCCTGACTCCCCGTTCTAGGGCATACGGACTTTCAAACGAACTCTCTTTTTGCCTTGCCATCCCCTTTCTGAATTGGCAATGCAGAGTTAACACTCCCTTGCGCAGAGATGACAAAACAGTGGAGGATATTGTTAATGCCGTATTCTATCCCTCGTACTCGAATGGCCGAAACTACTACCGTTCATGATAGCATAGGTTATCCATTCTGGTAGTAGGAGCAGGTTTCGTGTATTTTTTCCTCCAGAGTCACGACTGTCCGAGTATAATACTAGTCAGTGCATGTAACTCCAGGGTATCCGATCCCACAGGAAACCACTCATATAAACAAATCTACACACAAGGCATTTTTAAAGAAATTAATAATTATGTTACAGAAGGGTTTTCTGTATTTACAAATTATTGTAAATTATTTTAATGGTGTTTAAGGAAACATTTTAAAATACAAAGAAAAAATATAAGTAACTGCGTTGTTGTGTATAGGATTTGATTTTGTTATAAACTTCTATAAAGGTTTTTCTTTTAAACAAAAAATGTGGATAAAATATCAGTCTGTACTAAGTTTTTATTAATATATCGGTAAACAAATACTAGTATGCTATCTGCAGCTTTTAGTTAATTAGTTATTTCTTAGATGGCTCCCCTCAAACACTAATTTTAAATTCGAACGTGAATAAAATGGTGGGAAAAAGAAATGATCTAAAGAACTGATTTTAGTTCCACCATCTAGAAAATAACTAACTAAAAGCGCTATATCTCATATCATAAGATTATCTGAATATCTTATTTTAGAATTTCAGTATGTAGGAAAAATGTTTACTACAAAATTTATTGACATAATACTTTCTTTAAAATTCTCTTATCAATAATCTGTCTATAATGCAAACCCAGGTTATACAACGGAGGGGAAATTTTGGAAAACCAGTGGACTATTTCTACAAGACCTGGGAAGAATATAAAAAAGGATTTGGATTATTAAGCGAAGACTTCTGGCTTGGTAAATATAGTTCTGAGTTACTATATACAATTTATTTTAGACGACTCATTATTTTTATGTTAATTTTTTTCTGAAATTTCTATTTCTTTTGCTGGTCTTCACCAGAACGCGAATACGTTTGAATTAACAAGCGAAGTTGTAAATTATAGAAAGTTCAGTGGTAACCACATAATAGCTATGATTGCATGCAAAATCATCGAGAATGAAAATAATGCAAAGGTGAAATATCGTCGTACAAAACTTTGCGGAAGAAAAGAAAGCAAGGGAAAAATTTCGCAGTTTTAAAGCATTGTCATATAAACATCTTTATAGAAAATAAAGCGGGTCACAAATTTTGAAGTTTTAAAGCGCCGTCATAGAAAATATCAAGGTAAAAAATAAAGCACCTACAAATCCTTCCAGAAATTTGCTTTCAGCTTTAAAAACTTTTAAAGTCGTGTTTATTAATTTTACCCAAGTGAGTTATAGGGGAACAAAAGGGAAGTGTTAAGCAGCCCATTTCGCAGAATTGATTTAATCATCAGTTTTTATGGAAGTCACTAAGAAGAAATGATATTTTACAGTCAAGTCCAGTTATATACATATTTAATGCAATAATATTGATATCAGGAACGAATATTAAAAAGGTTTGCTGTCATCAAAAATTTCGAATATTATTTGCATAGTTCTAAAGATTCTGATTAACTGATAATTCAGAAAATTATATATGTATTTAAAAACAATTTTGTGTGTGTTTGTAAACTCTAAAATATCTATCTTTCAAATAATAAATTAACAATAGCCCTTTAACTTCCGTCTTCATTCTAAAAATAACAGAGCAGTAATTTTGCCAACTAAACTAGCAGCAGTTTTGATGCGCACTTATCGATGAAATCTGAAACCAACACCTGTACATTTAACTGTCATGTGATCTGAAATGGAATTCGGTATAAAAGATTATCCCTTCTGCTTCCAGACGCTTGTGTCGCCTTGCCGCTGCCCATGCAGAGATTACTTTTCTAATTTTCGTCCCTTAAGAAGATGTAATGTGTACAAAATTGGGGGTGCATAACGCACCCACAGTGATAATGTGCATTAACAAGGAATAAAATTATGTGTGGAATTTACTGTTATGTGTGTTCTTTGACTGTCACCTTGTAAGGATCTTAAGTTTTACTAACGTTTATTTTATTTTAAATCTTTATCACTTCTTATTTTCTACTTCCGGGCCAGAATTAAAAGCTTTAACTTATTTATGCAAATTTGTATTGCGAACGTCAAGTACTTAAGTTGTGGCTTTTTGCCAAGCAAGAGAGAGAGGAAGGAGTTAGTCGAAGCAGGCCGCTTGCCTTAGCAGTTTTACTCGGTTGCTGGTTGCCTTCCAGGCCAGAGGGTTTAATCCTCTTAATAATTTTAAACGTATTGTAGTGTTAATAGTTCTCTGTACTACATACGGCTTCCTGTTAATATACGGCCAATCTTCCACGTAGGTCCTTGTTTATTATTCCAAAGTTAAGTTAGAGTTTAGTTAATATTTTTATATTCTTACGTTCAGACCACAAGTGGTTGGTCTCTGTATTCCGAAGTCCGGAAATCATTGTAAAGAGTGAAAAATAAAGGCTTTCGTATACCCTTCCTGTGTATCTTGTCTACTTCCTACATTTATTGAACATAGCTTTAGTAAGCTCCCTGTTCCGAGTCAGGTTCTTGAATGTTCCCAAAGCAAGTAAGGCGAAAAACTGAACCTGATAGTGGCGCCCGACGAAGAAGAATAACCATGGCCGAGTTTCAAGAAGAACCTGTGCTGCCTGCAGAAGCGGCTCAGAATCCAGAAATGCCAGCTGCCGCCCTAGAAGGATTTGGTTACATCGTCCAGACCATGCGCGCAGCGATGAAACCAGAAGCAACATTTAATGGAAACTCACCGGTAACCACCTTTTTGGAAAACTAGATGACCACTTCATGATGTATCCCGTGCATGAGTTCCAAAAAGTCAACTTAGCTACCAGCGCTTTGAGGGGCCAAGCGCTTAATTGGTTCAAATGCATAGGCAGAAGTCTCTTGGGTCAAGCAGGAAGTATCACCTATACTTACGAAAATTTCAAGACTGCCCTAGTAAAAGCCTTCCCTGTCGTAAGGGATCGTGCAAAATTAGAAACGGAACTTTTCAGCATATATCAGCAAAGAATCGAAAATCTTTCCACCTTTATTTTAAGAAAAATTCACGTCTTCAAACTCTTGTATGGAAACCGTACGGATCCTGAGATAATTCAAAAGATTTTGCCGAGGTTACTTCCCCAAGTACAAGACTTTATTGAATTAAGGAATCCGACTAAACTGGAAAAGTTATTTGAGCTAGCAATCCAGTTTGAAAGTAGAAGAACGGCGGACATTGAAAGAAGACGCCAATATCAACAACGAAACCAATTTGGTGAGCCAAGACTACAGCTACGGAAGCACATGGCTACGGAAGCACACGGCTACGGAAGCACACGGCTACGGAAGCAAAGCGAATCAGTGGGCAAGGAAACCCGAGCATCCAAAAACAACCGGCGAACGTCGACAGTTCAATAGTAATCCAGGAAAAAAGTCTGAAGGCCAGTGGAAAAAGAAGGAAAGCACGGAAAGGAAAAAACAAGATTTAAACTAAAACAGATTTCTGCTGACGGGGGGGGTGCGTAAATCCGAAGGCCAAGAAAACCCCGCTTCCTTCAAGTTAAATACAGTAATGGTGAAAAATTTGACTCTTCCGAAGATTGAAGTGTTGGTGAATAAAATCCCAGCTACCGCACTCCTGGATACAGGCGCGCAGTGTTCCTGTATGGCAGAAGATTTTTTTAGGAAGTATTTTCGTAAATATCGCATATATAATTCGGATAATACGACAGTGTTAGCTGCGCAAGGAGAAAGATGCAAGTGCATAGGTAAATTACCGCTATACGTCCGTATCAAGGACGAACAAGTAAAGGTGATGTTTTTTATAGTAAAGAATCTGCAAGCACATATTATCTTAGGGATAGATTTTCTTTCAGAGGCAGAAGCAACGCTGGATTTTAATGAAGCGTCCCTTAAGCTGACGATGAAACCAGTTCGAGAATAAAAAACGGAACCGCCAATGTTAAACCTTGACCACCTGCCTAAGGAAGAGCAACAAAGAATCCGACAAGTGGTAAGTGAATTCGCTTCGTTATTTAGTGATATTCCAGGATTTACTCAAGTTACTAACCATAGTATCGACACCGGAGATTCACTGCCAGTTCGCCACAAAGCATACCGGTATGATAAGAATAAAGAAAAAATTATAGAATGGCACATTAGCGACATGTTATGTAGAAAGATCATAACGCCCATCTCAAGTAGTTATGCTAGCCCGGTGGTTTATGTAAGAAAAACAATGACTATCCATTAACACACCCAAAAAGGTGGCGTTTCGCGATTGACTATCGTAAATTAAACTCCATGACTAAATATCCGGTATATCCGTTACCTATTATTGAAGAAATTCTAAGGAACATAACGTCTACCAAATACATGACGACTTTAGACTTAACGACTGGTTATTTTCAAATAGGGGTTAGACCGGAGGACGTGCCTAAGACTGCTTTATAACCAAGTCTGGCACTTATGCATTCCTGCGTATGCCGTTTGGCCTTTCAGAGGCACCGGCAAAATTTCAGCGATGTATGGACATTGTGCTAAGTCCTGTTCTTGGAAAGTCCACATTTATCTATTTAGACGATATCATTATTACTAGTGATAATCTGGACAAACATGTACAGGATTTAAGACAGGTGTTTTCATTATTAAATGAGGCCGGTCTAAAAGTTAATGTCGAAAAGTGCAAATTTGCAGCCCCTGAATTAAAATATTTAGGTTACAAAATATCTCAGAAAGGAATCGAGACAGACGAATCAAAAATAATCGCCGTGCAAATGTATCCGCCGCTAAATACGGCGAAGAAGCTCTCTTCTTTTCTAGGACTTTGTTCATATTATAGGTCCTTTATAAAAGATTTTGCAGCTTTTGCTGAACCATTGTTAAAATTAAAAAGGAAAAAGGCAAGATTCTCGTGGACGGCCGAAGCCAATAGTGCTTTCGAAAAATTAAAGCAAGCATTAACGCAAGCCCCTGTGTTGAAATTTCCTGAAAAGGATGAGAATTTAGAAATTTCAGCGGATGCTTCGGATTATGTGGTAGGAGCGGTACTTTCGCAAAATCAGCAGCCCTTCGCATTTTTTAGTCGAACTTTAAATCAAACACAAAATTATTCCGCGACCGAGAGAGAGACACTTACAGTTCTGTTAGCAGTGCAAAAGTTCCGAGTCTATTTTGGAAGGGCGCCAATAACAGTGTATTCTGATCATGCGGCGGTAACTAGATTGTACTCAGGGAAAAACTTATCCCCAAGGTTAATAAGATGGGCACTCAAGCTACAAGAATATAATCTGGTAATCAAGCATACCCCCGGAAAGGAAAACATCGTAGCAGATGCCCTATCCAGAATAAAAATAGATGAAGAAGATAATACTGTAAAGGTGGCAATGCTCACAGCATGTACAATAAATTCCCGAGAAACTGTAATAACCGAACTGGGTAAGGATCCTGAGTTTGGAAACATTTATGTGTATTTAAAGTATCGTGAAAATTTTAGCCACCAAGATATTGTGGCGATAAGATATAGGGCAGCCCATTACGAACTAATAGATGGTCTATTATTTTATACAAAAATTACAAATTCCAAACACGAATTTCGACCTGATATCCCAGCTAGTCTTAGATTAAATATCCTGCAGGAGTTACACGGCAGCCCTTTAGCTTCTCATAGCTGGTATTCAGAAAACCATCCAACGCGTACGCGAAGCAGTGTTATCTTTCCTGAAACTGCAAAAGTTAACAAGGGCGTATGGCCGGTCTTACCCAACATGCCAAGTAGTATGTTAACAAGTAGTATGCCAAGTAGTAGGTTAATTATGTTAATTTCCGCCCGGCCGGGTTTCTAAATAGTATTAAATCCGAATTTC